GGGTATTTATGAGTAAAAATGAATCAACTGTGAAAAAACCACTCAGATAATAAGCAGGGCATATCAGGCCATCCTCATTTGGATTTTGCACTGCAGGCTGTTTTTCACAATCCACTAAATCACTCTGATGAAGACCGTGGATGCACATTCGCAAATTTATTTCTTGCTTTGGAGAACATGAATGTCTGCAGGGATCACCAAAGTCATTAGGAGTTATCCAGGGAATTACGAGCAGCTAATGATAGCAGGTTCCTTATTTTCTCTGTTCACATTCTGTATCATGAACATCACAGCAGAAAAATGTGTTTAAGACAAAATGTCGAGAGGAAAAAGAAAACTGCCACTCCTGGTGCTTCCCTGCTTCCCTTTGGAAGTGTTCTCAGTTTTACAACATTCAGGCCTACCCAGAAAACTGACAGCTGTCCTGAGTATATATAGCTACCATATTCTGATGACTCACCCAGTCTAAAGTGTTTTCAAGCTATAACCCATGTTTATGTATTATTATTATGGTTAACACATAGCAATTATTGTGATGTATAAAGCTTTACAAAACACAATACCTTGAAAAGAACCCCTTTTGATGTCCAGCTCTAGCACAACCCTTTGTCTTTTAGCTCTTTTGACAGCTACAGTGCATTTCAACTACATCTTCTAGCTTTTGTACTTTGGCCTAAAGTCGGTGTTTATATTTTATTTTCATCCTTCTGACAGAACAACACAATCAGCAACTGATTTAGTAGAAGTCACACCTCTCACTCATTAGTTTCTAACCAACCTGGCCTGTCCATATCACCTGTAGTACTGGCAGCTACCCAGTCATTCCACGGATGGACAGACTCCAACTTCACCATGAGTTGGAACAGTAAGAAGAACTTGTTCATATGTAACTACTGAGCTCAACAATATGCTAAGCCTAGGATCATAGTCATTAAAATCTTCTGATGAAATGATACATTAATCATAGCTGAAGCCAAAAACCTCTTCATAAATGTTAAGGAATGCCAACTGTTCACTTTAGGATTTTTGGTGTCAGCAAAGTTAGCTAAGATGCTGTAAAGCTTGGATCCACCTCACAGTATTATATATTTCTGCAAACTATCTGAATCAAAATGGTAAGTTCCCAATGGAACACATCCATTTTGTTCTGGAGACTTGCAGTTTCACAGGGGAGTTGATTAATGGATGCTCAGGAGCTAGCATTTACATCCAATCAACATGTGACACCAGCTTGAGTTTGCTGCCAAAGACTCGGTGGTTGCTGGTGGTTGCCTCATATCTCTTGAGGTTCGAGCCAGATATCCAGGCAGCAGCGGGAGGCTGACGGCAGTGACGCAAGCAAGCTATAGAACCGACTCTTCGGTCAGAGAGTGAGCAGAAAATAGCAGATATATCCCACATAAAAGAAGATGGCAGCTCTCTTTAAGAGTTATACACCCATACATACCTTGAAAAATATTACGACCTTGTGGGCGCCAGTGGAGGCAAGCAGAGAGGAAGGACAGAAGACAGCATTTGAGAAGGAGGGGGACTCAGAGCAGCAAGCTGCTGGAGCTAAGGTGCGAAGCTGTGGTGGCTGCAGACAGGTGCACTTAAACTGCATTCACGTGTATGGAATGACTCATGCATGTACATATACAGACTACCTGGGGTGGTGAGGGGTTAGAAGTGCATACAAGCCAGAGTTGGGGTTTGCTTAGACTAAATTACAAATGTTTGTAATGTTCCTTGGAACTTTTTCCCAATAAATAAACCCCAAGTCTGGTGGGCTCATGCACAAAATGTTATGCATGTCACAGGACAATATGTCTTCCACACACTGGACACAAAGTGCCAGCTGCAACACTGTGGTGAGAGATGATGGACAGAGAAAGAAGTCAGCCATTTTCCCCCCTGATTTTTAAATAAATAAATAAATAAATAAATTCATTTATAATGGATGGATTGTGACATGGCATTAATGTAATCATACTGGTAATGAAAACTTTCACTGCAGTGTATGAAATGACAACAACTTCACATCCAATTTTGTCAATAAACAAGTCAATCACGAGGCAAAATTTTGGAAATTGTAGCATCTGAAAATTTGATTAGAATTGCTCCAAAGCAATTGCTTTGTTCTGTTATGGCTGCTAGCATTGTTAGCATCAGTTAGCATTAGCCAGCATGCTCAAACAGACAACATATATCACAGGAAGGGTACCAAAGCCACAAGAAAACAGATTAACAGGTCTTTAACAAGCATCATTTGTCTTCAATTTTGCTCTGTGTCATCAGTAAACCTGTGTTTGCCTCAGTGCTCTGACCCTCCTATGACAGCTCTTTAAACACAGTAGGAACAGCAAAGGGATACAACCTGCACAAAAAACATGTGAATAACTTTAAAGGAAGCAACCTTGCGAGAGCACATGGGATACACAAGATCATTTGATTTCATACCAGCTCTATCTATCTATCTATCTATCAAAAGCCTTACAAAGGCTTCATTGTGTTGTCAGTCTCTAACTCTCACTGTGAGACAGAGACGGACAGACTGACTTTGGTCTCAGTAAGTATGCTGAATTTTGGACCTCGCATCTGATTGATTTATCATCATTAAAAGATCAGAAACAGCTATGGCGACTCAACTCTTATGGGAAGGTTTACCACAAGGTTCAGGAGTGTGTTCATGGGAATCTTTGACTCAGAACATCTTTGGGATAAATTCGCTTGGAGACTTTATCCCAAAGATGTTCTATCAGGTTGAAGTCACATTTCTGTGCAGGTCAGTCAAGTTCTACTAATCCATGTCTGTATGGACCTTGCTTTATGCAAAGTCCCGAAAGTGGTCCACAAAGCTGGGAGCATGTAATTGTCCAAAATGTCTTGGTATGCTGAAGCATTAAGAGTTCCTTTGACTGGAACTAAGGGACAAACCCAACTCCTGAAAAACAATCGTAACCACCCACACCATAATCCCCCCCAACCAAACTTTACACTTGGAACAGTTCAATCAAACAAGCCGTTCTCCTGGCAACTACCAAATCCAGACTTGTCCATCAAATTGTCAGACAGAGAAGCATGATTCGTCACTCGTCAAGTATATAACAGGTATATTTTACTTATATATATATATATATATATTTTTATAGTACAATTCCCCTCTCGCCTCTGAAGGCGGTCTAGCCTTCAAGCTTGGGTTCTCTACCAGAGGCCTGGGAGTTTGAGGGTCCTGCACAGTATCTTAGCTGTTCCTAGGACTGCACTCTTCTGGACAGAGATCTCTGATGTTGTTCCCAGTATCTGCTGGATCAGGGCAACGTCCGAGCTGACTTCATATTTATCTGTTTTGCTCGTGTCTGCGGTAGGCGTGCTTAGCGTGGGGCTACTAGCCTATGCAGCTGATGTACTCTGGTGTTCTTTCCAGCTTTCCTCACATAATTCTATGAGCGAAGGATCCCAAATCAAATAAAAAGATATAGTATTTTCTACATGACTGCTTCTTGTTGATTGTTATTCACTTATACTGCTTGAAAAATAATGTTTTGGTGCTGACCGTAGCGGTCTGTTAAACTGCCTTTCATTTTCCTTTGACCATGGAAAGCTCAAACCAAGAATTGGCAGAACACAATGACTTGCCTCTAGGCAACAGCCAAAGTCACTCGTGGGCTCACATGAACACTACCAGCCATAGCCAAGGCTAAGTTGGTAGGTATGGTTGGTGCAATCGACCCATCAGTTAGAATCAAGCTTATCAAACCACTTGGTAAAATCTGTCCTTGGAATCTCTTGAGACTAGAGACCTTCCAATATTTTGACCTGAAACCATATATATAGATATTAAATGCCAGGAAAACCTAAACTGTCTCTTCAAAGATGCTAGTATGGGAGAAAGATAAATGAATTCAAAAATCCTATTTTCACTCACTGAGACTGTGTCATATCGAATAATTGGGGACAAAAAGCCCTCCAATTTCATATCTTTTCAATTGCATAGATCTGGCTCAGGTCCCTCATATATATGCTTAGAATCAAGTTTGAAGACTTCTGATATGAGCAGGTTCGCTGGCACAGTTCAAGAACAACAACAACAAAAAAAATACAGATGACATATAATGTAATTGCAAGGAGGTATTTCTGTAGTCTATTGATTACTAGATAGTGGAAAAGGGGTGGGATTTCAATAAGCTTATGCTTCTTCCTGCTCCTTTTTGAACATGAAAGTTATTTGTAGTTGTGGTTGCTCGTTTTCCTTTTGTTTTGCTTTGTTAATTTGTCTCTTTTAATTCTATGTTGTACTTTTTCAACATGTTCAAAATAAAGATTCAATCAAATCAGATCAAACATAACATTTTCAGGTGAAAAAGAAGAGATAGTGAGCAGTTCTGCTGACAGTATGATTGTCCTCCCCGTTTCTTCCCTTCTTTACACTTTAACACAGTACTCTTTTGTGATACCTCAACCTCAGCTACTTCAGTGTCGGGGAGTATCGGAATACATGTACCGGTGTTATGTATTTAAAATACAAAATATGAGTAACTGTATTCTGTTACAGTTACCATTAAAAAGGGTGATATTCAGAATACAGTTACTTTGTTAAAATAAATAGATTACACGGTGATCCTTTCCTGTTTCTTATGTTAGGCTATACCTTCTCTGTGTGTGGTAATTCCACCCCGGTGGAAACCCAAACAAACAGGCATTAAGAGGTTCTAATGCCTGCAGCCCATGTCACCTCTACTTGTGGCCCGCATAATGACGTGGAGAAATATTTTCTTAATTATTATTCAAAAAATGATTTAATATGAAG